TCTCATAGAGCGATACAACAGAACACACACTTTAAACCCCTTCAAAAAGGACAAATAGTGGCATACAAAGACCAACAACCCGTCGATGGGACACAACAGGTCAGGTCATTGAAATCCTCCCAACCACCAATACCGTATCAGAGTTGACGGATCAGGTAGAATTACCTTACGAAATCGCCGATTTTCAGGAAACTGGATACACCAACAATCCAGTTCCAAGACCTAGTGCAATAGCTGAGACACCTACACCAGTGCAACAAACAGTCGACGCTTGAATAACATCAAACACTGCTCAGCCGTTTACAATAACACGGACAAAAACCCTCGGGCATTGTCCAGACTACTTCCGCACAACCAGCCAGGTTTAAAGGAACTCATCCTCCCCAAAGGCCACTACCCACACGCGATGGGGGGAAGGAGATGTAGAATAACAATAATAAAAAAAGCACGTACCGGCGTAAGAATTCCAACAGCGTCCAGCTGGCAGACAAAAAAATAAAGCAGGTTGTAACTTAATACATATCCTGCAAACTGAGAAATCATGCTGTATTTATATAGTAATACTTCCACTCAGGTACCAGCAGCCAATCAGAGCCCGTGGACATCCCAAGCATAATGAGATGTCCATTGCACCATAAATAGCTCTGTCTCTATGTTGAATTAGTCTTCACTCAGCTTGCTCCACAACTGAGTGGTTATCTTGACTACGTGATTGTTCGACAATAATTATATTAATTTTCATTCCAGCATTCCCATGCATGATGGAACCAATCTCATGTCATTCACGTTGATGTCATATAAACCGTCAAACTAAAGTTTGTATATCTGTGTGTGAGTGCGTTTTTCAGAATATATATATATATGTGTGTGTGTGTGTGTGTGTGTGTGTGTGTGTGTGTGTGTGTGTTTTGCTGTGAAGTGAAAGGTTCGCCTGTAATGATCTATTTTAATTTCATAGACATGGTGAGGTTGATTTCGAAGCCTTTAACTTAGTCGTAACTATTCTTTGTGTTACTAAATAAACATATTTGCGTGCATTCGTGGTCGATATGTGTCATGATTTTATGGTGGAAAAGGCCAAATCTGGACATAGCGTGTTCGCTTGCGATGTTGTCTTGAATTATAACGATTCTACCCAAGAATAGTCTGCGACAAATAGACAGTTAAGTCGCCTATTCGAAAAGAATGGTTAACCATCTAGTTTCTAAGACTATTGTTACCGAATCCGACTATAATTTTATAGTCTGTTACATATATGTTATGGGACCTTACCCATAATAACATAATGGGCTATTCCATACGTAATAAATACTGCGCCTCAAGAAAAAGCAGAGAGTTCAGCCCGAAGTCGGGCGACCGGCTGACAGGCTGATCGGTTGAACTCTCTGCTTTCGGGCGGGGAGGAACCCGAACGAGACTACGCCGAAGGGCGGAGTCTGTTTCGGGAAGGTAAACCGACCCTGAACCCGTTTATACGGGTTCAAAGGGCATATTTTTGGTCGAGCCTACGGGCTCGGAGATCCCACGTTAAACCGGCCTTGTGCCACATGATGCCCTCGTGGCGGGGGGTGACTTAATACTGTTCCGTTTGAAGTCTGGAGTTCAGTCTGAAGTCTGGAGTGAAGTCCGCCAGGAGTCAGTCAGTCGAGTCAGAGCGAGCGAGTCAGTCGAGTCAGAGGCAGTCCGAAACAGAGTCGCGTTCAGACAATTACTACTAAACCTGATTGTTCGTACTAACACTTTCTACTTTGCACATATCCCTGTTTGTAATATATCTGTGTTATTCCATATCCGCCTTCGAGGATGAGATATTGTCTCGGTGCAGAATAAATTTTAAAAGGGGAGGTTTATATACCGTAAATATGAAAACTAATAGATATGTCCCAATACTGATAAATAGGTTGGGCACTATTGTAAGTTGGAGGTAATATGCTGTCTAAGTAATCCACCACTAGCAGTGGTTTACCTACATCACGCCGCTGGCGAGTATTTTATTTTGCTGATGTTATAAAGATTACCATTTCATTTCCAACCTCTACTTTGGTTACACCTCATTCAGTAACCCTTTGTAGGTTACAACAAATTGAGAAAAAAATATTGTGTATCCAACTAGAATCGAACTTTCTACCGTTTTTCTCCTATCAGAGAAACCACTTTTTATGGCAAGGTGTTCCTCACCTGTTTCGGACAGGAAGACCAGCCCGACACCAGTAATTTTTAAATTAATTTTTATTTAATTATTATTACAATGAACGTCATTTTTAGTGGGTGAATATATTTCTGTTGTTTTCATTGGGGTTTTTTTGGGGTGGGGGTAATTGTTTTATTTTATGAAAATATGAAAATAATGACGACCGGAATAAATTGAGAAGCATCCCTAAAGAAAAATTGCCTCTGACTGTGCATCCGTTTCTTCCATCAGGAAAACCACTTTTTATACCAAAGATTACATCTAAGTATACATAAAACGCTTGTTTGATAAATATACTACCAAATCGACAAAGTCCGAGAATTATTTTAATATATTTTATTGTTATATGTTATTCATATAGACAGAAATATTTAAGTAAATGCTCTGTTTATAATAAACAGTATTAACAGCATTTACCGGCCTGAACGTCCTCCTACAGGAATCGAAATTATCCTACAGGTAACCGTCATATAGCCTGACGTGCTATACCAGTTTAGCTACAGAGAAGCGTCTGGTGAGCAAGGTCGATTTTACTGCTTTTAAACTACAATTTTCCATGATTTCGCTCGAACGTTCATATCTGCTCGAAGTGTATCTAAATTTAAACGTAAATGACGTCACGCACAAGACTGTATATGTCATTAATACTATTTACTATAAACAGAGCATTTACTTAAATATTTGTGTCGATATAAATATCGCATAACAATAAAATATATTAAAATAATTGTCGGACTTTGTCCATTTCGTAGTGTAATACATATCTATGCATATACATATGCATGCACACAGGATTTATTCTCAAATGAATCTAATTATTTTAGAAATATTTCCTTTTTTAGAAAATTTGTATAAAATATATATTTTATTTAAATTTGTAAACCTCTAATTATTTAATTTTATCAAATTTAAATAAATTGATTTTTCGTAAGGCTGAATTTTTTTCTGCAATGATGCTCATCCTGTACAACTCCCAAAAAGCCCATCGAGGTGGAGGGTTACATAGTAAGAAGCATAGTTTATGCGGATATATGAGGAAGATAACCTTTTGCCCTAGACTTGAACAGGTTAAGATTATAGTGATCGGAAAAGCATCCACTTACATTAAAGCAGCGGTTCTTGGGAAGAAGCTGCTCAGGTGGAACTTGAATCTCATTAATGGAATACGAAAGGATTAAAGGATTAAAGGATTACGGTGGTTCGCTATATTATGCGTGATCTGTCGGGTCTTAACCGTTAAGGTTAGAACTGGTGGAGCTAAGGAACGTAGTTCGTCTGAAAACTCACCATAGAAATAGAGATAGAGCAGTAAAAGGCTTGCGACGTTTTGTCTGTGAAAAAGGGTTTTCAGGGTAGAAAATAATATATTATCCACAAGGATGTGGAGTCACTTTTGGAAGACTTAGCACGAGGACACGTTTCTGTGAAGACTTAGTGGATCCTGCCCATATATGGCAACAGTACACCACTTTCGACCTGCTCTTGTTCTTGTAAATGTAGAGAATAGCACAAGAAATCAGATATTTGTGAAGGTCTTTGGGAATTTAACATATTTCCAGCATCTTTATTGATTTAAGTATGTAAGATTTTCATTGCCACCTGTGGTGCGTTTAAGTCCAATTAGGAGCTCAAGATGTAGGGATTCTCTAAAAGAACAACCGTTCATCGTGTCTGCTGATAGTTCAGGGCCTGATCGGTTATGATGGAATGGAACTAATTAGTTTTTTTCGAAGCATTGAATGTAACCAGCCAGTACCCCCCTCCCATCGAAATGCTAGAACTAGATCAGAAGAAAGATCACCTGCCATTCTCTGAAGTTTAGGATGGGGGTCCGATATACCGTTGTATCATCAGCATATATATTTACAAATGACCGGAGAACAGTCTTAGGTAGATTATGAATATAAATTAGAAAGATGGTTGGTCAGAGAAGCGACATTGAATGAAGTCTGTGTTGATTGCTAGAGCCTCGTAGGGACCTACAGAGTCAGGAAGGGAATTATAACAGAGAAGATATTTCCAGTATTCCATAGATAGAGAGCTTGTACAGTAATCCTTTATGCTACAGCTTGATATCTAATACAATAGCCCTTGAGATGTATTTGTTGCCTAGTACCTCACTGATTTTTGGAGTAATAGTATTTAGGACATCAACAGTGTATCGGGCCGATCGTAACAAGTACTGCTTGTCGCTCAATACGTTTTTCCTATTTAGGTAATCAAAAACCTTCTTGTTGATTATAGCTTCGAAACGTTTGTAAATGATACTGCGAAGACTGAGAGGTCTATACTGAGAAGAGGAAGAGCGCACCTCAGCGTTCTTGAAGAAAAATATGCTTCCTAAATACACACACATACATATATACACACACATACACATATATATACACACACACACACACACACATATATATATATATATACATATATAAATATACACATATATACACACACATATATATACACATATATACATATATATACACATACACGCACACACACATATATATATACATGGGCACCTCGAGGCGGTGTAATGGTTAGCAAGCTTGTCTTGCTAGATCAATTACGACTGAGTAGTGAGTTCGATCCTCACTGGGTGCCTCCGTACTTTCGGCCTTGTGCCGCATCTAAGCTACGCTTGGAAAATAACTATATATACATATACATATATAAACACACACACACACACACATATATATATATAAATATTTATATATATATATATATATATATATAATGTAAGTTTATTTTATATCTATATCCATAATTATAGTCTAAAATGATGAAAGCACCCGACACTTGTCGGATGCCGTCGACTCTTTTCCGAACTTGTCTGGATCCCGAGAAACACGGAATCACGCAAGTGTCAGTCGATCATCTCCGATAAAACTCGTGTACTTTCAATATTTAGATGCAATAATTATTGTCCTACGCAGCTCCTGGGCAATTTATTGGCAGAAAATCTGTTTGTCTTGACTTAGTGAATTTTACGTATATTAATAAATGTTGTTATAATCATCATTATAATTATTATTATTATTATTAATGTAATTATAGATTTCTATTTCTCAGTCCTCACATACTCCACAGATCTCGATATTCAACTTGGAATGCACACCGACTTTCTTAATCATTTCCAGCCTCCCTGGACGGATTTGTCGTTTTTGCCTGCCCTTCGACCAGAGATCTTCGAATTGGTTGAATGGCATTCGTCTCAGTCTTTCGCACAACATTAACTCAAGGCCAACAGAATCTATAATTGACTGCTCTTTCTTTTGTGCTGCCTCAACTCGTTGTTTTCACCTGCTTATAATGGGCCCGGCATTGGAAGCCAGCGAAGAGATGAGGGTCAGGGGAAAGAGACATAATGAAATGATTTCGCCCATTGTATGTTGAAAGGCAACCTTATAAAGTCGAGTAATCAGAATTTCTTCTTTTCACAATGCAAACCGACAAGAAAGAAAGGCTTCGTTTTCGAACATTTCTTTGAAAATTAACTCTGTAACGGGTACTATGAACAGCTATGCATTCTTCAGATTTTGAAGAAGGGGAAAATGCGTTTAATGAATTCATACAACTAAACTTTATGTACGATAGCATGTAGAAAGCCGATGCGTTTGGGGTGTGTATTAATTTCAACTTCACCGCCACGAGAATGAGTCCGAACTTTTATTGTCGATAATTACAAAACGGTAGATTTTATCAAAATGCCTTGGTTATTTTCGAATTAAGCATGTACATTTACACCTAAATGGAACTATTCGGGAAATGTTTATTAGAAACTGAGCATGGGGCTTGAATTGTAAATTAACCTCGAGTTCAAATTAGTTCTGTCACCCATACATTTTGCGTTAATGGCGTATTGCCTTAAAACATACAGAACTCCTTTTTTTTTTCAATTTTATTATAAATTTACACAAGTGAAATATTTATTCTTCGTAAAATATTTTCCTGTCGTTACATAGATGGAGGTATCTTTTATTGAGTATATACCTGGAATGTCTCCATATAAACTGTCTCTGAGGTGGGGGGGGCATCTATCTAGTCTGTCTCTAAGGGGAATGAAAAATTAACCAATTGGGATTGCAGGCAATTTCGTTTTACTCACTTTACTCCAAGCAAGGCAAAAATGCCACTAAGACACAAGGAGCTAATGGGAGTGAAAGTAAATGAATCAATTTTTAGAAGGAACCGGAAATCTAATCCTAAACAGGAAACAAGACTATTCGATGAAGAGGGACAGAGATACATCCATCCAATCATTAGATTGAAAATTTCGCATATCGGAAATTTACGTCGGTCGCACTAACACAATCATATTACAAAAGACTAAAAAACTTTCCTCTCTCTACATAGGAAGAAAAGCGCCCTATATAGGGAGAGGAAAGTGTAGTAAAAGACGACGGAACGTGTGACACGGAAAGGCGGATCGAAATAGCGAAAGAGGGCCTTCCTGAATCTTATTAAAGTGGTAAAACATGGATTACTATATCATATTTGTCATCCTGTATGGTAGAGAAATGCCTTGCAGATGAAGTAGAGGCGCAAAGGGACGTGGTCCTATGGAATTGGTGCTGAGAATACCATGGATAGAACATCAGAGAAATGAGTAAAACCTCAAGAAAAATAGAACTAGAAGGATGCTTATTCTTAAAATAAGAAAGAGACGGGTGACATTTCAGGGATACGTTATGAAAAAGGAATAACATGAAAAATATAACTGTTACAGGACGTGTTCACATAAGTCAGAGTATAATGAAAATTTGTCCATCTCAAAAATCAAACAATATTTTATGTATATTATATCTTATTTTAGATATGTTCTTCGTACCTCTTTTCAGGTTTCCGGTGAAATTGAATCATAAATCATTCCACGCTTTCTGAGTATTTTGGATTTCAGTAGCCGTTATCAAAGAGTTTCAATGTTATGTCGACAGCGTTGTTTCTGTATATGTTTTCTAGTTCTCGTTTTCGAATGTCTCACGCGTCAATATGTGTCACGTCTATGGTTTCAAGGATCACATCAGTTATTCTATTGTTCAAATATCACGTCAGTTTGTTGTGACATTTTTTTATATATATATAAATATACACTAAATGAAAAGTGAATTAAATCTGTTTACCTAAGTGTGGAATCTTCCTACCCTGAGTTTCATGCGATATTATTCCCTCTCAGGAGAATTCATAATGAATTATATTCAGTTCACCATCAGTAATAAGAGACTAAGAGTCAGACGTAGAAGAAAAAGTACAAAATTTCCTAGAGAATATATAAAAGAAAAGTGAGAAGAAAGTATTACCTGGTGCTACTAATAGTATGATATCTACCGTCCATTTTCTACTATAGTATGATATCTGATATTCATTTTCTACTATGGTATGATATTTAATAACTGTATGAAATATATTAGGGTTAAGGTTTAAAGGCAGTGAACAGTGAACTGGTTATGTATTAAAAAATTCATTAACAGTTTTTTATAGAAAAAAATCATCAAATAGTGATTCTAATGTTTGTAAACTGATTTGATCTTTATCTATATTTCTGAGATGAGGCATTATATACACTATTTACATTATTCGGATTATTGTCCTCATCTTTGTCGCCATATCTATTATAACGTTTCGGCCGTTATACGCTCCGGCCTTCTTCAGGTGGTTGGAATGTCGAACCGAACCCTTTATTTCGCTCACTGGGGTAGACTCTTCTAGTTCCACGTGCCATGTTTAATGGATATCAGTTATCAGTTATCTCCTGTTAATTCCCCTTTCCAAGTTCTCCACTGCCTTAACCGGGTATTGAACTCACACTCTTTGGATCCTGTCACTGGATCTAACTAACGCCTTTATCCACTGTGCTATGTGTCCTTGAGTGAACCTTTCCTGAACGTTTTCCAGCAATAACGAGTGCATCTTCATTTACGGTATGTCGCAAATGCCTCGGTAGATATAATATAGTAACATCGGATTACTTATTAACTATAAAACAAAATCTAAAAGACAGGAGGAGGGGGGCAAAGATGTGAGATTCGAATTGGATATATAGATATCACACAGGAAAGGAGATTTAACTAGGCTGGTTGTGTGGTAACAGAAGATGGAATTTATGACACAAATCCGAAGTAGCACTAGAATGAATCTAAGCAAACAGGTAAGACTTTGGAAAATTTCGGTAGAAACAAAGAGATAGCACTCAACTTCTGTATCATATCTATCATTATAAAAGGCAGTAAGTGCTTGACACTTTCTTTACTGATGAAGAAATTTATGCTTCTGTAGGTAAGTGCAGAGAATATCCGGGAGAGAATACGTAAGCAAGGAAAAAGTTATGATGAAAATTAGAATGATAAAGACACTCATATTCAAAATCAGAATGAATAGTTGAAATCACAAGGACAGATTATAAAGAAAGTCAACCTGGAAAGCTTAATACTTACAAGAGGTATTAAACGAAAGAGGAGACGATGAAAAAAAAAACAAAAAAAAACAAGCAAATAACTTGACGTGTTTGTGTAAACGGACGACAAAGCACGGTAAAAGAGAGACGGTAACGAAGTAATCCGTTGCTTTGAGCTAAAAGACGTAGGATCATTCCATCCATGAAGGGTTACGGTAAATGGACGATGTTGACTGTTTCCAGTTTTGAAATAAGGAGGTCGATGGATTCTCACGACGGCAAATAGCACAATAATTAACAAGAAATGAGCGGTGATCAAATTTAACGTGTTGTAGAGTATGAGAGCAAATCTTGTCACAAATTCTTTATTTCGGTTAAAATAAATCTAAATTGTGGAGATATTTAAAGAAAATAAAAATTTTAAAAATACAAGAATCATCAGCACTAGTAGCCAAACGGTATGGCGTCAACTTATTCGAAGGGGTAAAAAACCTTAATAAATGCTCAATCACTAACCCACCTCCACGTAGGTCCTTCGACTTGTCAATCCGGAAGCACCTCCCCTGTTAATATAAATAACGAGATTCTATCCTTCGCTACCTTGCTTGTCCTGTTGGGTAGTTTGCAGCACCGAGTATTTCTCAGCGGTCATCTATTTGAATACTGACAATGATCAGCGTTGTTTAACTTTCGGTAAGTGACGACGAGAAAAAAAGAAAAAAAACACGCTCGGTAAAAAGGGAAAAATACTTTAATCAAGTAAAGGCGGAAGATAGTGCCATCAGATTCCATTATTGTGACCTTCTGGTTTGGTTTACTTTATTTTACTAACTATCAATACCTCAATGTGTTATCCAAAGCCGACAAGAGTTTTAAGATAGATTCGTATGAATAGAATATGTATTTTGTAAAAATCGGTTTATAGATCAGGTTTCATTGACGCATTTTCGTAAGAAGGTGTTTTTTTTTGTCCAGAATCAAATATATTGCTGGTAATAATTTTTCAAAAATCTATTACTGGTAAATCTTTTTTCCAAAATATGTATTAGTGGTAATATTTTTTTTACCAAACGTGTATTGCTGGTAATATTTTTTTCCAAAAGTGTATTGCTATTAATATTTTTTTTTCCAAAAGTGTATTGCTGGTCATATGTTTTTCCAAACGTGTATTGCTGGCAACATTTTTTTCCAAACGTGTATTGCTGGTAATATTTTTTTCCAAACGTATATTTCTGGTAATATTTTTTCTAAACGTATATTTCTGGTAATATTTTTTCCAAACGTATATTTCTGGTAATATTTTTTCCAAACGTGTATTGCTGGCAACATTTTTTTCCAAACGTATATTTCTGGTAATATTTTTTCCAAACGTGTATTGCTGGTAACATTTTTTTCCAAACGTATATTCCTGGTAATATTTTTTCCAAACGTGTATTGCTGGTAACATTTTTTTCCAAACGTGTATTGCTGGAAATATTTTTTTCCAAACGTATATTGCAGGTATTTTTTTCAAACATGTATTGCTGGTAATATTTATTTTTCCAAACGTGTATTGCAGGTAATTTTTTTTTCAAAACGTGTATTGCTAGTAATTTTTCTCAAAAATACATTTTCATACTTTCCAAGTCTTTTAACCCCAGTTTGGTGGGGTAGTTAACTATTTTACCATAGCTGGGACACTAACAGGTACCACCACCTCGGATAAGAATGGACCTGTGAACAACAGCAATTAAGATGTGGTTCCACGCTCCTCAAAATCTCCCGACCAGCAGTTTTGCTGCCAGATGTCATTTATCGCCATATCCAGAACAAGAGACCTTCGGGACTTGCCACCCACGTCCGCGCGAAAAGTGGCCTCGTAAGCCGTAGCATTACTCTAAGTAACACATAGAGAAGATAAAGCACTCAGGTTTGTAAGGAAAGAGAATACAGAGTAACATAATCAACGTAATGT